CAGGGCGGGTGTGGGGGTGTTCCCGGAGTTTGGGGGTTCGGGGTGATCTCCCTGGGAAGGGTGAGGTCCCGGCGGCAGCGCCTTGTCCTCTCAGCTGCTCACCCTGCCGGGAGCCGCCATTATCCAGCCGGGACTCCCCTCCCGCCTGCTGACGTCACCCTCCCTCTGGGATACGCCTATAACGTGACTGCATTCTCCAGGACAGCTCCGCCCACCGTCCTCTGGAACCCCCAGCCTAGAGGAGGAGGCGGGGACGGGTCAGCCCCGCCCAGGTATGTGGCAGTCAGAGTGTAGACCCCGCCCACGTTCCCAAGATGGCTAAAGTGACCTAGCTCCGCCCAGCGCGTCCTAAACAAGCAGGAGAGACCACGCCTAGATGTTAGCGTAGCCCCGGACTCTGAAGCGCCAACCCACATGTCAATCACTGAGTAGCCTCCGCCCGCGTGCTTAATTAGCTCCACCCATCGATTGCCGATAAACTAGGCAACCAAACCACTCCCAGCTGCTGTGCAGCTCCGCCCACCCAGACTTCAGTCACGTGGAAACCCCGCCCATGCGCTAAAGGTGGCGAAGTTGAGACCGTTCCGAGTGGGAAACCACGCCCTGAGGATGTCAGTCATCCGATTCTGACGCGTAAATTGGCGTCTGCCAATCATGAGAACTAGGCCCCGCCCCCCGTGCCAATTAGCCTCCAATGTACTTAGAGACTGATTAACAGTCTCCGCCCACATCCAGTCGCAACCCAGTGTTAAGCTCCGCCCGCTTACGTTACGTCATATCTATATATACGGGGCGGGAATACTTGAGAGAGAAGTGTGAGGTGAGGTGATGGTGGAGGAGGCCGTACTCACTATAGACCTGTATATACCGGCACTGTACTCGTTCTATACCTCACACATGAGAGGAATGCACCACCCAGCATGAGGGGGGAGTCATTTCCTGCTGCGTCCCCTCACTTCCTGTCACCCTCTGTAATCCGACAAACCAGGGGTCACCGTGACAGGAAGTAACCTAACAAATCACCATCCTGCCTCTGCGCCGCCCTAAAACTGAATATATTTTGTCATTGAGGTAAAAATGCCACCACCGACATTCCTGAATGTTCCAGCTGCATCGGGGTGGACTGTACCGCGTTTTTTTCAGCACAAATTGGACTCTTGGCGCTCCATAGTAACGGCTATCTCCTGATTTTATATTTTTATCATCAAAGGAAAACTGACCCAAAATAGCAAAAAAAAAAAGTCATATTTTATGTAGCTGTATATTTCTTACTATTATTATAACCTACGAACAAAGGGCGACCCAAAATGGATCGTCCATCTCCTGACGATCGCAGCGATACCTCACACGCCTATGTGCGCGGCCACTGACGTGCTTTTCCAGCGCCTCACCCCAAATCTGACCCTCACAGGTACCCGCTCGCCCCAAACCTGACCCTCACAGGTACCGCTCGCCCCAAACCTGACCCTCACAGGTACCCGCTCGCCCCAAACCTGACCCTCACAGGTGCCGCTCGCCCCAAATGTGACCCTCACAGGTACCCGCTCGCCCCAAACCTGACCCTCACAGGTACCGCCGCTCGCCCCAAATCTGACCCTCACAGGAACCGCTCGCCCCAAATCTGACCCTCACAGGTACCGCTCGCCCCAAATCTGACCCTCACAGGTACCGCTCGCCCCAAATCTGACCCTCGCAGGTACCGCTCGCCCCAAATCTGACCCTCGCAGGTACTCGCTCGCCCCAAATCTAACCCTCACAGGTACCGCTCGCCCCAAATCTGACCCTCGCAGGTACCGCTCGCCCCAAATCTGACCCTCGCAGGTACCGCTCGCCCCAAATCTAACCCTCGCAGGTACCACTCGCCCCAAATCTAACCCTCACAGGTACCGCTCGCCCCAAATCTGACCCTCACAGGTACCGCTCGCCCCAAATCTAACACAGGTACCGCTCGCCCCAAATCTAACACTCACAGGTACCGCTCGCCCCAAATCTGACCCTCACAGGTACCGCTCGCCCCAAATCTAACACTCACAGGTACCGCTCGCCCCAAATCTAACACTCACAGGTACCGCTCGCCCCAAATCTAACACTCACAGGTACCGCTCGCCCCAAATCTGACCCTCACAGGTACCGCTCGCCCCAAATCTAACACTCACAGGTACCGCTCGCCCCAAATCTAACACTCACAGGTACCGCTCGCCCCAAATCTGACCCTCACAGGTACCGCTCGCCCCAAATCTGACCCTCACAGGTACCACTCGCCCCAAATCTAACACTCACAGGTACCGCTCGCCCCAAATCTAACACTCACAGGTACCGCTCGCCCCAAATCTGACCCTCACAGGTACCGCTCGCCCCAAATCTAACACTCACAGGTACCGCTCGCCCCAAATCTGACCCTCACAGGTACCGCTCGCCCCAAATCTAACACTCACAGGTACCGCTCGCCCCAAATCTAACACTCACAGGTACCGCTCGCCCCAAATCTGACCCTCACAGGTACCGCTCGCCCCAAATCTAACACTCACAGGTACCGCTCGCCCCAAATCTAACACTCACAGGTACCGCTCGCCCCAAATCTGACCCTCACAGGTACCGCTCGCCCCAAATCTGACCCTCACAGGTACCGCTCGCCCCAAATCTGACCCTCACAGGTACTGCTCGCCCCAAATCTGACCCTCACAGGTACCGCTCGCCCCAAATCTGACCCTCACAGGTACCGCTCGCCCCAAATCTGACCCTCACAGGTACCGCTCGCCCCAAATCTGACCCTCACAGGTACCGCTCGCCCCAAATCTGACCCTCACGCTCAGCACTGCCCCAAATTCTGTACCCTCGCAGGTACCGCTCCGGGCAAACCAAATCAGGTACCGCTCGCAGGTACCCTCGCCCCAAATCTGACCCTCGCAGGTACCGCTCGCCCCAAATCTAAACCCTCACAGGTACCGCTCGCCCCAAATCTGACCCTCGCAGGTACCGCTCGCCCCAAATCTGACCCTCGCAGGTACCGCTCGCCCCAAATCTAACCCTCGCAGGTACCACTCGCCCCAAATCTAACCCTCACAGGTACCGCTCGCCCCAAATCTGACCCTCACAGGTACCGCTCGCCCCAAATCTAACACAGGTACCGCTCGCCCCAAATCTAACACTCACAGGTACCCGCTCGCCCCAAATCTGACCCTCACAGGTACCGCTCGCCCCAAATCTAACACTCACAGGTACCCGCTCGCCCCAAATCTAACACTCACAGGTACCGCTCGCCCCAAATCTAACACTCACAGGTACCGCTCGCCCCAAATCTGACCCTCACAGGTACCGCTCGCCCCAAATCTAACACTCACAGGTACCGCTCTCGCCCCAAATCTAACACTCACAGGTACCCGCTCGCCCCAAATCTGACCCTCACAGGTACCGCTCGCCCCAAATCTGACCCTCACAGGTACCACTCGCCCCAAATCTAACACTCACAGGTACCCCGCTCGCCCCAAATCTAACACTCACAGGTACCGCTCGCCCCAAATCTGACCCTCACAGGTACCGCTCGCCCCAAATCTAACACTCACAGGTACCGCTCGCCCCAAATCTGACCCTCACAGGTACCGCTCGCGCCCCAAATCTAACACTCACAGGTACCGCTCGCCCCAAATCTAACACTCACAGGTACCCGCTCGCCCCAAATCTGACCCTCACAGGTACCGCTCGCCCCAAATCTAACACTCACAGGTACCGCTCGCCCCAAATCTAAACACTCACAGGTACCGCTCGCCCCAAATCTGACCCTCACAGGTACCGCTCGCCCCAAATCTGACCCTCACAGGTACCGCTCGCCCCAAATCTGACCCTCACAGGTACTGCTCGCCCCAAATCTGACCCTCACAGGTACCGCTCGCCCCAAATCTGACCCTCACAGGTACCGCTCGCCCCAAATCTGACCCTCACAGGTACCGCTCGCCCCAAATCTAACCCTCACAGGTACCGCTCGCCCCAAATATGACCCTCACAGGTACCGCTCGCCCCAAATCTAACCCTCACAGGTACCGCTCGCTCCAAATCTGACCCTCACAGGTACCGCTCGCCCCAAATCTGACCCTCACAGGTACCGCTCACTCCAAATCTGACCCTCACAGGTACCACTCACCCCAAATGTGACCCTCACAGGTACCGCTTGCCCCAAATCTGACCCTCACAGGTACCGCTCGCCCCAAATCTAATCTAACCCTAGGCATTTGCCAAGCACTAAAAAACGCCCCACAAACGCCTGTAATGAAGTTTGAATGGTCGGGTGTTTGTGGAGCGGCACCGTAGACTTCAATGGGAGGCTTCAACTCCTCCTGACTGGACCAGAGGCGTCCGTTTTGCCGCGACACTAACGCTCCCGTGTGAACAGCACCGTGTGCTGCAATGTGCAGAATTTTCCGAGGCGTTTGGGAAACGGTAAAAACGCTTCCCAAACGCCTGTCTGCCGCTAGCTGAGAAGGCGAGTGTGAACGGAGCCTAACAAAAGTATTAACAAAAATTATGATAATAATAAAAATGTAAAAAAAAATACTATATTGAGAATCAAAAAAAAGAAAACTAGGAAAAAAAAACCACCCTTGTTTGCCCCCCTGCGTGCGTACACATGCGTGTTCAAGCGTTGGCCCCGTGTCAGTATGTAAACCGGTTGCACCATGCATGTGAGGTATCGCCACAAACACCAGATCAAGGGCAGTAATTGTAGACCTCCTGTGTAAATATGAATCGCTGACCTGTAAAGGCTTTTATAGCATCACCTATCCATAAAATAAATGTACGGACTTTGTTGCCGTTGCACCGACATGCGCAATTTTAACCACCTTCCGCCCGCCCTATAGTCCAATGACGGGCGCAAGGCGGTTCTCTCGTTCTGGGAGGAGATCATATGACATCCTACTATTCTCACTGCGCATGTGCGGCTCAGGGAGCGTGCAGCGCGGCGATCACCGGTGCGCTGTGTCTCTTGGACACGGCAGATCACGGAAAGAGCCGAAGATGTCGGCTCGGTCATGTGATCAGTTGTGTCCAATCACAGCTGATCACATGTAAACACGGAAATGCCGGTTATCGGCATTTCTCTCCTCTCGAGCTGTCACACTGACAGAGGAGAGGAGAGCCGGTAATCGGCATTCCTCAGAGGGGACATGTGCACTGATCATCAGGGCACTGATCAGTGTGCCCTGATGATCAGTGTGGCCCCAGAAGTGCCACCTGTCAGTGTCCATCAGTGCCACATATCAGTGCATACCAGTGCACATCAATGCCACATATCAGTGCCACCTATCAGTGCTGCCAATCAGTGCCACCTATCAGTGCCAGTCAGTGTCGCCTATCAATGCCAATCAGTGCCACCTATCAGTGCTGCCAATCAGTGCCAGTCAGTGTCGCCAATCAGTGCGCATCAGTGCCAGTCAGTGCTGCCTAACAGTGCCAGTCAGTGCCACCTATCAATGCCAATCAGTGCTGCCAATCAGTGCCACCTATCAGTGCCAATCAGTGTTGCCTATCAGTGCGCATCAGTGCCAGTCAGTGCCGCCTATCAGTGCCAGTCAGTGCTGCATATCAGTGCCATATATCAGTGTCATGTATCAGTGCTGCCTTTCAGTGCCCATCAGTGATGCCTGTCAGTGCCCATCAGTGCAACCTACCAGTGCCTCCTCATCAGTGCAACCTACCAGTGCCTCCTCATCAGTGCCACCTACCAGTGCCCATCACTGCAGCCTTATTAGCGCACATCAGTGAAGGAGAAAAATCACTTATATGTTTTTGGTTTGTTTAAGAAAAAAATAAAAATCCCCGAGGTGCTTAAATACCACCAAAAGAAAGCTCTATCTGTCTCAAAAACATTATAAAAATTTCATATGGGTACAGTGTTGCATGACCGCGCAATTGTCGTTCAAAGTGTGACAGCGCTAAAAGCTGGAAATTGGCCTGGACAGGAAGGGGGTAGAAGTGCCATGTAGGCGAGTGGTTAAAGCATGACATGTTTGGTATCTCTTTACTCGGCGTACCATCATCTTTTATATCTTATCAAACAATTAGGCAATATATTGTGTTTTTGTGCATTAAAAATCGAAATAGTGTATTTTTCCCAAAAGATTTTGCTTACTACGTGTGAAATGTGTGAATGATCACAGAGGTCACATGGTACAGGGCTATTCACAACAGCCTTGTAGCATGTGACAAGCAGTGACCAATCACAGCTCACTCAGTAGTTCTCAATTGCTGCAAGAATGCAGACAGAGAGAAAGAGAAATGATTGCTTTTACAGCCTTTATGGGCGTAAAAGCAATCAGTGTAAAAAAAAATCTTCATCACCCCCCACAAGTAGTACAGTGTCACACTGTACTGCTAGGGTGACAATGTGTAAAAAAAAAACTATAAAAAACATAAATAAATAAAATAAAAATGTAAAAAAATGTTTAAAAATTATAATTTTGGTTATAAATGAATTTGGGTTATTTTTTTTTTTTTTACTAAAAAGATAACGGAATAAATTTTGGCCAAGATTTATGATTAAATATTATTTATTTGCAACATTTTATAAGAAAAAAAACTTTTTTTTCCAAATTTATGAACTTTTTCATTTACATAGCAAAAAAAAAAAATAAAAATCCCAGCGGTGAATAAATGCCACCAAAATAAAGTTTTATCTGTTTCAAAAAAATGCTAAAAAATTCATATGAGTACAGTGTTGCATGACCGCGCAATTGTCATTCAAAGTGTGACAGCGCTGAAAGCTGAAAATTGGCCTGGACAGGAAGGGGGGGAAAGTGTCCGGACTGGAAAGGGGGGGAAAGTGTCCGGACTGGAAGGGGGGGAAAGTGTCCAGACTGGAAGGGGGGGGGAAGTGTCCGGACTGGAAGGGGGGAAAGTGTCCGGACTGGAAGGGGGGGGGAAGTGTCCGGACTGGAAGGGGGGGAAAGTGTCCGGACTGGAAGGGGGGGGGAAGTGTCCGGACTGGAAGGGGGGGAAGTGTCCGGACTGGAAGGGGGGGGGAAGTGTCCGGACTGGAAGGGGGGGAAAGTGTCCGGACTGGAAGGGGGTGAAAGTGTCCGGACTGGAAGGGGGGGGAAGGGAAGTGTCCGGACTGGAAGGGGGGGGGGAAGTGTCCGGACTGGAAGGGGGGGAAAGTGTCCGGACTGGAAGGGGGGGGAAGTGTCCGGACTGGAAGGGGGTGAAAAAAATCTATAATGTTTGGGGGTTAAAAGTAATTTGCTAGGAAAAACTGTTTTTTTTTTTTTTTTTTAAAAAGTGTCAGAAAAGGCTTGATCTTCAAGAGTGGGTGATGTGCGGCAGAAGCTGCTCCTGAGATTCCAGGATAGTAGAAGCCCCTCCCCCTCCAAATGACCCTTTTTGGAAGTAGACACGCCAAGGTATCTGCTAAGTGGCATGGGGAGTATTTTGCAGATCTCATTTGTTGCCACATGTATTTGGAAAATGAAGAAAGAAAACAAAAATTAATTCTTTCTTTTCTTTTTCAAAACCCTGTGACAAAAATGATATCTGAAAAATGCTCACCATTCCTCTTATCAAATTCCTTGGGGTGTCTACTTTCCAAAAAGGGGTCATTTGGGGGGTGTTTGTACTATCCGGGCATTTTAGAGCCTCCGAAACTGTGATAGGTAGTGGGGAAGTGATATGAGGAAATATTCCCTTTGAAAGCCTGGAGGTGGTCATTGGATTTTGGGTGCCTGTATGTAGCTAGGCTGCCAAAACGTCTCTGACATGTGGTACCCCCATACTCAGAAGAAGTAGGAGAATGTGTTTTGGGGTGTAATTCCATATATAGCCATGCATGAGCAATATATCATTAAAGCGACATATTTGTGTAAAGAAAAAAAAAATTGTCATATTCAAAAAATTTGTGGCAAAAAAATAAAATGTTCCATGGACTCTCTGAAAAATCTTTGGGGTGTCTACTTTCCAAAAAGGGGTCATTTGAGGGGGGGTTTGTGCTGCCCTGGTATTATAGCACCTCAAGAAATGTGATGGGCAGTCAGAAAGTAAAAGCTGTGTAAATTCCAGTATATACCATAGTTTGTAAACGCTGCAACTGTCACACAAACCAATTAGTTTACATGTATTGGGAATAAAAAGCGCACAGGTGATCAAATACCACCAAAAGAAAGCTCTATTTGTGTGAAAAAAGGACATCAATTTCATTTATTGCATGACCGTGCAATTGTTAGTTAAACTAGCGCAGCGCTGTATAGCAAAGAAATTGCAGTATCTATACCATAGTTTGTAGTCGCTATAACATTCACACAAAGCAATCAATATACACTTATTGGGATTTTTTTACCAAAAAACATGGAGCAGAATACATTTTGGCCTAAATTGATGACTAATGCAGGCCATAGACGGGTCGAAAAAAACGGCCGTTTTTTTATTTAAAAAAACTGAAAAATCGGTTGTTCGATTGGCCGACGTTACCACCGACAGTAAAAAAAATCGACCGATTTTCATCCCGTCTACGGCCGGCATTTGATTACTTGTGTCCGTTGCAGAGAGCTCCGCTATTATATTTTATATGAAAAGTCTTGCGGTTGCAACAATGTATCTATTTGTATCCATTTCACCATTTCAGATACAGATGTTTTTATTCGGATACAAGTAGATACAATGTTGCAACCGCAAGACTTTTCATATAAAATATAATAGCGGACTGGAATTCTTCTTTTTCTTCTTTTTCTTCTTCTTCTTTTTATTCTTTTTCTTATTCTTTTTCTTATTCTTCTTTTTCTTTTTCTTCTTCTTTTTCTTATTCTTCTTTTTCTCTCTTCTTCTTTTTATTCTCTTTTTCTTCTTCTTTTTCTCTCTTCTTCTTTTTCTTTTTCTACTTCTTTTTCTTATTCTTTTTCTTCTTCTTCTTTTTATTCTTCTTTTTCTCTCTTCCTCTTCTTTTTCCTTCTTCTTCTTTTCTTCTTCTTGCAGGTCACGGCTCATGCGCAGATTTTTTATCGGTAAAACGATTGGCCGATTTGCCCATCATTGCCAGGAAAATTGGCCGATCGGCAAAATCGGCCAATCTTTTTCCAACTTTACCAAAAAAAAAAAATTTGCCAAAACCCTGAAAAAGGGCCGACCAATTAACCCAATAACGGAGCGAAAATCGGCCGCTTTTTGACCCGTCTATGGCCTGCATTACTCTGAGTTTATTGGGTATATTTTATAACCAAAAGTCAAAAATATATATTTTTTTACATTTTCAGTCTTTTTTTGTTTATAGCGCAAAAAATCAAAACCGCAGAGGTGATCAAATACCACCAAAAGAAAGCTCTATTTGTGTGAAAAAAAGGACATCAATTTTGTTTGGGTACAGCGTTGCATGACTGCTCAATTACCAATTGGAATAGGGTAGTGCCGAACAACAAAAAATGGCCTTGTCATGAAGGGGGGTAAATCCTCTGGAGGGCAAGTGGTAAATATCTGTTAAAATCTGTTTTTTTGAACAGAAGAAACCCCTATTTTTCTTCTGTAAAAGGAATGGACAGAAAACGGATGTAAACTGCTCTGTTTTTCCTTGAAAAAAATGTGACTGAAATGATGAAAAAAACAGAACCCCCGTGTGATAGGACCCAGAGGGTTTTTTTCCGTAAAAAAAAAAAAGATGTTAATGGATGCAGAGTCTATTGATTCTGGCTGCTGGGGGGTCTGGTGTTACTGCTGGGGGTCTATTGTTGCCAGGGGTCAATTGTTGCTGGAAGGGATCTACTGTTGAGGGAGTGATCTATTGTTGCTATGGGGTCAACTGTTGCTGGAAGGGATCTGCTGTTGAGGGAGTGATCTATTGTTGCTATGGGGTCAATTGTTGTTGAAAGGGATCTACTGTTGAGGGAGTGATCTATTGTTGCTATGGGGGGTCAATTGTTGTTGAAAGGGATCTGCTGTTGAGGGAGTGATCTATTGTTGCTATGGGGTCAATTGTTGTTGAAAGGGATCTGCTGTTGAGGGAGAGGTCCATTGTTGCTGGCAGCTGGAGAGTCTATTGATGCCCACTGCTAGGAGATCTGTTGATGCTGGTGGGGGATATATTTTTGCTGGGGTTCAATTGTTGCTGGAAGGCATCTACTGTTGAGGGAGAGGTCTATTGTTGCCAGGGGTCAATTGTTGCGGGAAGGGAGCTACTGTTGAGGGAGAGATCTATTGTTGACAGGGGTCAATTGTTACTGGAAAGGATCTATTGTTGATGGAGAGATCTGTTGTTGCTAGGGGGTCAATTGTGGCTGGAAGGGATCTGCTGTTGAGGGAGAGATCTATTATTGCTGGCTGCTGGGAGATCTGTTGTTGCTGGTGGGGGATCTATTTTTGCTGGGGGTCAGTTGTTGCTGGAAGGGAACTGCTTTTGAGGGAGTGATCTATTGTTGCTAAGGGGTCAATTGTTGCTGGAAGGGATCTGCTGTTGAGGGAGAGGTCCATTGTTGCTGGCTGCTGGAGAGTATATTGATGCCCACTGCTGGGAGAATCTGTTGTTGCTGGTGCGGATATATTTTTGCTGGGGTTCAATTGTTGCGGGAAGGCAACTACTGTTGAGGGGGGGATCTATTGTTGCTGGTGGGGATATATTTTTCCTGGGGGGTCAATTGTTGCGGGAAGGCTTCTACTGTTGAGGGAGAGGTCTATTATTGCTGGCTGCTGGAGAGTCTATTGATGCCAACTGCTGGGAGATCTGGTATTGCTGGTGGGGGATATATTTTTGCTGGGTGTTAGTTGTTGTTGGAAGGGATCTACTGTTGAGGGAGAGGTCTATTGTTGCCAGGGGTCAATAGGTACTGGAAGGGATCTACTGTTGAGGGAGAGGTCTATTGTTGCCAGGGGTCAATAGGTACTGGAAGGGATCTACTGTTGAGGGAGAGGTCTATTGTTGCTGGAATGGATCTGCTGTTGAGGCAGGGGCCTATTGTTGCTGGCTGCTGGAAAGTCTATTGATGCTGGCTGTTGGGAGACCTCATGTTGCTGCTGGGGGTAAATTGTTGTCTGGGTGGTGTTTTGTCACATATATCGTTGCTGGGGGCGGGTCTGTTGCTGCTGGCTGAAGGGGAACTACCTTACTGCTTTTCTTGTTATCATTAACAAGTTCCATACAAATTACTTGGCACCACAAAATGACACTTGGCTCTGTATTCTCTAAAAGGAGCCGTACTGAGAGGTGGGTAGGGGGTGGAACCAACAGACATACTGAGAGGTGGGTAGGGGGTGGAACCAACAGACATACTGGGAGGTGGGTAGGGGGTGGAACCAACAGACAGTGCTGAGAGGTGTGTAGGGGGTGGAACCAACAGACAGTGCTGAGAGGTGGGTAGGGGGTGGAACCAACAGACATACTGGGAGGTGGGTAGGGGGTGGAACCAACAGACAGTGCTGAGAGGTGTGTAGGGGGTGGAACCAACAGACAGTGCTGAGAGGTGGGTAGGGGGTGGAACCAACAGACATACTGGGAGGTGGGTAGGGGGTGGAACCAACAGACATACTGGGAGGTGGGTTGGGGATGGAACCAACAGACAGTGCTGAGAGGTGGGTAGGGGGTGGAACCAACAGACATACTGGGAGGTGGGTAGGGGGTGGAACCAACAGACAGTGCTGAGAGGTGTGTAGGGGGTGGAACCAACAGACAGTGCTGAGAGGTGGGTAGGGGGTGGAACCAACAGACATACTGGGAGGTGGGTAGGGGGTGGAACCAACAGACAGTGCTGAGAGGTGTGTAGGGGGTGGAACCAACAGACAGTGCTGAGAGGTGGGTAGGGGGTGGAACCAACAGACATACTGGGAGGTGGGTAGGGGGTGGAACCAACAGACAGTGCTGAGAGGTGGGTAGGGGGTGGAACCAACAGACAGTGCTGAGAGGTGGGTAGGGGGTGGAACCAACAGACAGTGCTGAGAGGTGGGTTGGGGATGGAACCAACAGACAGTGCTGAGAGGTGGGTTGGGGATGGAACCAACAGACAGTGCTGAGAGGTGGGTAGGGGGTGGAACCAACGGACAGTGCTGAGAGGTGGGTTGGAGATGGAACCAACAAACAGTGCTGAGAGGTGGGTAGGGGGTGGAACCAACAAACAGTGCTGAGAGGTGGGTAGGGGGTGGAACCAACAGACAGTGCTGAGAGGTGGGTAGGGGGTGGAACCAACAGACAGTGCTGAGAGGTGGGTAGGGGGTGGAACCAACAGACAGTGCTGAGAGGTGGGTAGGGGGTGGAACCAACAGACAGTGCTGAGAGGTGGGTAGGGGGCGGAGAGAAGGCGGGCCTTAGAAGTGGGGAGTTCCTGCACCTATTCTCTGAGAATAAAAGCCCTGGGTTACGCATGTGTAATCAGCGATCACGCTACATATGTGAGGTGTCACCATGAATGTCAGGTAAACTGTAAAGGCTTTTAAAGCATTGCCTATGGAGATTCATTGTACTGTAGTTGTCACTATTCCCGTGGCATGCACAATTTTAAACCATGACATGTTTGTTATCTATTTACTCGGTGCAACATCATCTTTTATATTTTACCACACCATCGGGTATTATATTGTGTTTGTGTGCACGAAAACTTATTACAAATGTATTTATTCCTGAAATTTTTCAATGATAAACTGCTGCATAAATATCATGGCACATAAAAAATTACAACAGCCACCATTTTTTTTTCTCCAGGGCCTTTGATTTCAGAAAATATGTAATGATTGGGAGTTCCAGCAAAAAGAAAAATAAATCTGATTTATTCATGTAGAAGAAAAATGTTGGAATTGGCCTGCTAGGCAGATTGTTCATATGTATGTATGAGCTGTGCATGTGCAACTCGGTTTACATGCCTGTGTGCCAGGATGACTGAACTCCGGCACATGTGCGAGAGCAGCGTCATCCTTCAGCGGCCAATCAAAGTCCTGTAGCCAGAAGAAGCTTGGGAGAAGATGTCAGTGCCATTGAAAGAACCTCACAGGCGTCGGACTGTTGCAGCAGAGGTAAGTATAGCACACTAGACATGTGCAGTTCGTATGGTTTCGCGGCAGAATGCGGACAAATTTTTCATTATTTGGAGACTTGGATATATCAGAATTTCCAAATAACAATTGTAACGAGTTTAAACAAATCTTAATTAACAAAACAAAATTTGGTCTAAAATTCAAATCGAATTCGAGATGCTAAATCAAATTTGAAAACAAGAATGGAATAAAATAGAAGAGAATAGAATAGAAAAGAGAAAAATAAAAGAACAGAGTAAACCAGAACATAATTGACTAGAAATTAAAAGAATAGAATAAAATGGAAAAGAATAGAATAGAATAAAAAATAAGGGAATATAAAAGAATGGACTTAAATAGAATAAAAAATAAGGGAATAGAACAAAAAGGGGTAGAATAGAAAAGAATAGAGTACAACAGAAAAGGATAGAATAGAAAATAAAACAATAGAATAGAAAATAAATGGATAGAGTAGAATAGAAAATAAAAGATCAGAATGAAACAGAATAGAAAAGAAGTGCATAGAATCGAAAAGAATAGAATAGAAAATAAAAGAGGAGAATAGATTATATTAAAATAGAATATAAAATAAGGGAATAGAAAAGAATAGAATAAAATAGAACAGAATATAAGGGAATTAAATGGAAATGGAATAGAAAATAAAAGAATACAATAGGGTAGAAAAGAATATAAAGGAATAGAATATAAAAGAATAGAATAAAATAGACTAGAATAGAAAAATAATGGAATATAATATAAAAGAATAGAATATAAAATCAAAGAATAGAATAGAAAATAAGAGTATAGAAAAGAACAGAGTAAAACAAAATAGCATAGAATAGAAAATAAATAGAATAGAAAAAAAGGAATAAAATAGAAAAGACTAGAGTAAAAAACAGAACAGGATAGAATAGAAAATAAAAGAATAGAATAAAATAGAATAGAAAATAAAATAAAGAGATAGAATGGAAAATAAAAGAATAGAATAAAATAGAATATAAAATCAAAGAACAGAATAGAAAACAAGAGAATAGAAAGAATAAAGAATACAAGAATAGAATAGAAAAAAATAGAATGGAAATTAAAGGAATAGAATACAATAAAATAGAAAAAATTAAAATTGATAACGTTTCTAATTCTATCTGAATTTACCGAATTCGGAAATTTCGAATTGAATATGAAAATAAATAAGCACTAAGAATAAACTAAATTAATTCTGAAAATGAATTAAGCAAATTTAACAAAATTAACCCCTTCACACCGGCGCCTCCCGGCCCTTTAAGGGTTCCAGAAGCCAGGAGGCGGGGCAGGGTTTAGGGTCATGTGACCGCCGTGATGCGCCGTCACGACGGTCACATGATCAAGAAAAGTCCCGATCGAAAGAGGAGATCGGGACCTTTCCGTGAGTACCGGACATGTGTGCTGGGAGAGCGTGCAGGGGGCGTGCTCTCGGCACATATGTCCTTTTTTAATAGAACACAAATGTGCGGCCGCTCGGCGTCTAGGCCCAGACCTCGGGAGGCAGAACATTTGTGTGCGGCCGGCGTGAAGAGGTTAACTAAACAAAATGATTTAAATAACAAATCGAAACAAAACAAAACCAATGTTTTTGTTCTGCACACGTCTGTTGCAGAGATTAGTTCAGCTTTAACCACATGCCGCCCAGCCACTGTATAAATACGGCGGCAGGGCGGCACGGCTGGGCAAAAGCACGTTTTAAAAGGTGTGTTTTGAAAACAGGTAGGGGGCACGCGCGAGGCGCACCGCCGCCCTACCTGTCCCACCGATCACAGCCGCGGATGTCAGTCGCCGGGTCACAGCCAGTCATTCCCGGCGATCGGCGGCAATCGCTGACAGAGAGCACAGCTGCAGTAGCTGTGCTTTCTGTCATTTCCCTGACAGCTTGAGGACACGCTGATTGGGACAGAAGAGTTTCTCTCTCCCGATTAGCGGTGTTCCCTGCAGTACACACCCCCCGTCCCCTAGTAAAACACTCCCCTCACACAGTTAACCCTTTGATCGTCTCACATGTTAACCCCTTCCTCCCCAGTGCCATTAGTACAGTGTCAGTGTTTTTTTTTTTTGCACTGATCACTGTATTGGTGTCACTGGGGATGTCAGTGACCCCAAGTCAGTTCCCCCCCAGTGTCAGAATGTCCGCCGCAGTCCCGCCATAAGTCGCTGATCGCCACCATAAGTCGCTGATCGCCACCATAAGTCGCTGATCGCCACCATAAGTCACTGATCGCCGCCATAAGTCGCTGATCGCCGCCATTATTAGTATAAAAAAACCCCTAAAAATCCCAGCATCTTTCCCGCCATTTGTAAACGCTATAACTTTCACGTAAACCAATTAATTTACACGTATTGGTTTTTTTTTTTTAGCAAAGACATGTCGCAGAATGCATTTTTGCAGAAATTTATGACTAAATTTGATTTTTTTTAAATTTTTTTTTACTGGACATGTTTTATAGCAAAAAGTCCAAAATATTGTTTTTTTTCCTCAAAATTGTCAGCCTTTTTTTTTTTTTTTTAGAGCGCAAAAAATAAAAACCGCACAGGCGATCAAATACCACCGAAAGAAAGCTCAATTTGTGGGGAAAAAAAGGATGTAAATTTCATTTATGTACCGTATTGCATGACCGCGCAATTGTCCGTTAAACTAGCGCAGCGCTGTATAGCAGAAAAATGGCGTAAATTGCAGTATCTATACCATAGTTTGTAGACGCTATAACTTCCACACAAAGCAATCAATATACACTTATTGGGATTTTTTTTACCAAAAACATGTAGCAGAATACATTTTGGCCTAAATTTATAACCAACTTTGAGTTTACTATATATTTTTTATAGCTGAAAGTAAAAAAAATATCGTTTTTCTTCAAAATTTTTGGAATTTTTTTTGTTTATAGTGTGAAAAATAAAAAGCGCACAGGTGATCAAATACCACCAAAAGAAAGCTCTATTTGTGTGAAAAAGAAGTCCGTAAATTTCGTTTGGGTGCAGCATTGCATGACCGCGCAATTATCAGTTGAATTAGTGCAGCACCGAGTAGCAAAAAGAGGCGTGGTCATTAAGGGGGGTAAATCCTCAGGAGGGCGAGGGGTTAATGAATCAGAAAACGAATGTTGTGAATCCATGAAATAATATCCGTTTAATCATTTATTGGGGTTTTCTTTCTTTTTCACAGCAGCCTTTGAGCGGTGAAGATGTACGATGAATCCAGCAGTGAGGATTGCCTTCCTTTCATACGGTGAGGAAATGAAGCTGAAATGACCAATTCTCGGACGGCCTTTATAAAGCGTTACAGTTTAGTTTTCTTTAGTTACTATTCTACTAAACCCACTTTGCAGCCACCCACTTACCTTTTGTGAAAAAAATAATAAATGCACATTTTTTTGCAGGTAAAAAAATGTGTGTTTATTAGTTTTTGTTGCAGAAGCCTGTAAAGCAGACCTGTCAGTGTATCTGCTTCTTTTTTTTTTTTGCCTTCCTCTGGATCAACTGTGGGTGTAGGATTATAACTTTTTTTTTTAATTAGTGGTTGAACTGGATGGGCGTTTGTCTTTTTTCAGCCAGACTAACTATGTATGAGATGTATGAGTAAGCAGACGGACAGGAAGTATTTTAAACACGAATCACCAGCGCCAAATTTTGTGAAAATTATAGACCAAATAAATAAATGCTGCTGCTGCTCATTAATGTAGACACCAAAACATACATAAAACATCAAAACAGCGCATATATATAAAAATAAATACACACTGCAAAAAAAAAGTATATAAAAATAGTCCCACTCCAAATCAATGGTGACCAAAAAAATATAAAATTAGAAAATATAAAAAAAAATATTATTATTATATTATTATTATTATACAGTATTTGTAAAGCGCCAATAGTTCGCTCAGCGCTGTACATTACAAAGGGGGACAGAACATGTGACAGAACAATACCAATACAATGCAAAACATGAGGGGATCGAGGGCCCTGCTCTTTGGAGCTTACAATCTAGGAGGGAGGGGATGGTGGCACAGGAGGAGATAGCTGTGGGGGATGGAGTGGTAGGAAGAGTGGAGGAGGTCGGCAAGTTAGCAGGGGGTGGGGTAGGCTTCCCTGAAGAGGTGGGTTTTCAGGGTGCGCCTAAAGGAGAGGAGAGTAGGTGATAATCTGATGGGTTGGGGCAGGGAGTTCCAGAGGATGGGTGACACCCTGGAGAAGTCCTGGAGGCAGGCATGGGAGGAGGAGACCAGGGAACTAGAGAGAAGGAGGTCTTGTGAGGAGCGGAGTGTGCGTGTTGGGCGGTACTTGGATATTAGGTCAGTGATGTAGTTCGGGGCAGTATGGTGGACGGCTTTGTACGTCAGTGTTAGGATTTTGAATTTGATCCGTTGCGCAATCGGAAGCCAGTGGAGGGATTGGCAGAGGGGGGTGGCGGAGATGGAGCGGTTGGAAAGGTGAATGAGTCTGGCAGCCGTATTCAGGATGGACTGAAGCGGGGATAGCCAGCGGCGAGGCAGGCCAGTGAGGAGGGAGTTGCAGTAGTCGAGTCGTGATATCATGAGGGAGTGGATGAGCTGTTTAGTGGTTTCTGGGGTTAGGAACGTGCGGATTTTGGCGAAACCTTTAGCCCGTGCTTCCACCAAAAAGTGTAGTATTTGAGCACTGTTTTTTGGTGGAAGCACGGGCTAAAAGTTTCTTTGGGAAGAGGACTTTCATGAATATATATTTTTTTATATTTTTTAATTTTATATTTTTTTGGTCACCATTGATTTGGAGTGGGACTATTTTTTTATATTATTTTTTTTTGCAGTGTGTATTTATTTATTATTATATATTTGCGCTGTTTTGATGTTTTATATACTGACAGGAAGACTTAATGAACTACCATGACGCTCCATAGCAGTGGCGTCCCTAGGGGGGTTCTGTCCGCACCGGGTGACACCATCACAAGGGGTGCAGGATGCTGGCACAGTGACAGCTGCCCCTGCCCCGGTGTAGTGGTAAAATGAGTCTCCCCTGAAGCAACTGCGCATGTGCCTGTTTCAGGCCGAAGAAGCCGATTGCCGCCTCTGTGCTGAAGTCGGAGATCGACTTCTTCAGCCGGAAACCGGCACATGCGCAGTTGCATCAGGAGATACAGATCTTCAAGGGATGGATACTCATTTTACCGCTACACCGGCACCGCTCCTTCCTCTCTGGAGGGGTGACACCACGTGTTACCGCACCGGGTGACACCAACCCTAGGGACGCCTCTGCTCCATAGCACTGTGGTAGTTCATTGAGAACTACAAGGGGACAGCCGCTAAAACTGAATTGAACCAGCTGAAGTTAAAAGCTGATTGGCTACCATGCACAGCTGCACCAGATTCTGGGTGCCCCATGTTTAGTAAATCTCCTCCTACGTGTGGTGACAGACGTTTTACCTCACTGCAGGAACGCACAGGAAACAATTGTTTCCTATGTGTCCCATTCACACTGCAACGCAGCCTAGTGCTGTATTTTTGCATTTTTATCACAGCACACCGGGCCGAATCTCATGGCAATGTCGGGCAGCGCAGTTAAAGCGGAGTTCCACCCAAACAGGGAAGTTCCTCTTTAATGCTTTGTCCCCCGCTCCTCATTAAGGATTGGCACCTTTGGGGAGCGGGAGGGGGCAGTGGGTACCCGATTTTGACAGGTACCCGCTCCCACTTCCGCTGCGATCGCCTAGATCAGGGGTAGGCAACCTGAGAGCCGCAGGACTACAAGTTCCATCATGCCTCTGCAAGTCATAGCTGTAACTGTCAGTTTTGTAATCTTTGCAATGCCTCATGGGAAATGTAGTTCCACAACAGCTAGAGAGCAGCAGGTTGCCTACCCCTGGTCTAGACGATTGGAAGCGGAAGTTGTCCTCCCTCCCCGTAGTCTTCTGGGACACGTAACAAGTCCCAGAAAGCTACGGGGCCATTCACAAAGTGCAGCGCTTCTTGCACATGTGCAGTGGGCACCCGGCTGCGAAACCGCAAGGGAAGCCCAAAACAAAGATGGCGGCGCCAGGGAGAGAAGACGGCCGGTGAAACCAGCCGTGGTGAGGACACCGCTGGATCGAGGGACAGGTAATTGGCTGTATTTTAACAGTCAGCAGCTACAGTTTTAATTTTTTTTTTTTTTGCTCAGCTGGAACTCTGCTTTAGGCTTTGGCAATAAAACCTGAAAGCTGATTGTTTTCTATGCAGAGTTTCCAGTTTTAGTAAATAACCCCCTATATATTCTGCCGTACTTTACATGCAGGCATTCAAGGATCGTTAAACGGTTTAATCCAGAACCGACTCCTCCCAGCTCTCCATCACTTCCTATGGAAGAGCGCTATGGACCTGAATTCTGGGACCGGCTAATGAGACAGCCAAGGTGAGCGTCTCTTTGTATCTATTTACATCCTATCCTATATCTTATCTTCCATCAAGAAGATAAGATCCCCAACTGAGGGACATCTAGGGGCCTTTACCCACTTGTAGACCCGCTAACGTACGTACA